CATTTTGTAAAGATTTATGTAGTTTGATTATAATAGTTTTTATTTTAAACTGACACTAAGTTATTGAAAACCATCGGGTGTTCAATAACTGTTTGAAACTCTTCAATTATGATACTCATTGTTAATACTGATAACACACTTAATCTATCAAACCTTATACCTCTTTATTACTTAGTAATTCTTATCAAAGTTTATTCTCTCATATAGTCAGGACCTATTGTTTCTTGTTTTGAACATGCTCTCATTAACCATGCAGTGATAAAATCCTATATAATTTTTCATCAGTTTTATAGAATATATAGTTTAGAGACAAAAACAACAATAGTAATCCTTACAATATATACTTGACTTCAATTCGTGATGGTTTGAATTAGTTCGCTGTTAATATTTTCTAATGAACTTTAACATAAGTGAATGCTCTGCGAATTTTTACTATTTACTCGTTTTTTTTCACAAATGGATAGTGGTTAGTAGTAACGCGAGTTTTTTCCTGCCTGAGACTTGTTAGCCGAATGTATAAACACCCTGTTATTAATGTTCACAGTGAGAATTAAACGGTTAATGCGTTATCCATTGAATTACTGATTCCAGAAGGCTACTAGCTTTTTCAATGAATGTGAATTTAACATAATTTGTAAGAATTTGATTCAACTTGCTGTTCAACTCCCTCTGTGAACATTAACATGGGTGATGATAAATCCAGTTGAGTCGTCCAAAATAAGACAAAATGAGCGTCCTGGATTATACTGCCAGTCTCAACCTTTTATTGTTGTAAAAGATGTACACTTGGTTAGATTATGTATTTCAATCATTATTTCAACATGTATATAACATTATGATTGTTTTTATTATTATTATTACTATTATTGTGGTCTGAGCTATTTCATTATCATCATCACTACCAAATTTTCAAATTAAATAAACAAATAAACAGAATAATAGATTACTATTATTTTTATATGATTAACTGTGTAATATTTAAAATTTCATTCAACAAATAAATGAAATACCTCAAGGCATATAATAATAATAAGAAGAATAATGATAATAATCCTTACTCAAATATGAATGATCTGTTTACCAATTATTAATAAGCAATTGGATATATCTTGTTAAGTTTATCAACATTTTCATAGATTGGAAATAAAATATCATTATTGTTTATAAGTAAACTACTTAACATTAGTATAAATGATAGTAGTAATATGAGCATATTATTATCGTTATTACCATTATTATTATTATTATTATTATTATTATTATTATTATTATTACCATCATCATTATTCATCTGCCTGACATTATGATACATCATGTTCTATTTATCATTACATATTACATGTATCATCTTGATTTCATTATGTAGACTTCTTAACATGTTTCTAATAGATATTTATGTAATTTACCAACAACAACAAAAAATAATCATCTGATTTAAAATAATCGGAAATAGAAAACAAATTCAGTAAATTCACTTATCTCTTTTATTGTGTAGTTTATTTTGTATACTTTGCCTTCTTACTTACTTATTATCTATGCTTTGTCATTTCGTTTTTATATTTTTTTCTTCTTCATAAATACAATTATATATATGTTGATTGTCTGTTATTGTATTTAGGTCTAATAGTGTAATCTTATATTGTTATAATATGGATAAAATATTAGCGGTAGTATAAATGACTTGTTAACATTATATTCTCTATTAACACTTGTTTGTGAATAGATTTTTCAATAGGGTTGTAGTGTGGTCAGTAGTGAGATCTAGAATTTGTGTTCTGTCGTATTTGTGACTCGTCATCTGGATGTATCTGGATTCCAGTGTTGATGTGTCATTCCGAAACTTCTGGTTTAAACATCAATTAAATGTTCATATAGTGATTGATATAAGTATTGAGATATTCTTCCCAGGATGTATGTAACCCAAAAAAGACTAATCAGTATCAGTCCTTAACACCAACAACAGAAGATTTAATAAGTTTTTAATATGAGTAGAAAGTAATTGACACAAGGAAGAAACTCAGTGATGACATAGCTTACATCCTTATAAACCAGGATGATAAGCCAGGAAGACTTATCAGTCGGTCAGTCACCTACAACATAGGACCAGGCACATATATGCATCGGTCCAAGTTTCCATATCGCATTAGCATAACAAGATGAACACCGGATTCATAGGAGTGGTTAAGTCAATTGTGGTAATATATAAAAGAAAGACTGCATACAGGAGGAAAGAATTAGCTCGTAGAAAGATATGGAGTGATTTTAATCTCTTAGTTTAAGGGAAGACAGGGAGTGTATACACCTACGCCATTGTGATCGATCCTGAGCCATGTCACTAGGAGTCTCCAACCATTGGTTACGATAGTCACGCGGAACCCAACCAAGTAGTCTGCATCTACCAATATGGCTCAGACTAGAAGTTAGTGACTTTAGGGACTAATGCCACGTTTTGGTTTGGCCTCCCCTAACTTTCTTCCAACCATCTCCAACACCGGTTAGCATTGCATGTTGTGTTAATCGGTGTTCAGGCATACGTAACACGTGGTCCAACCATCTCAGTCGATGAAGATTCACAACCTTATCAACTGATTTACCATTATTCCTTAATACCCTGCACGTCTAACCTAACTATTACTTACCCGGTGATCCCAGCAGATGCCAGCAATATTTCTAAGGCATCTGTGGTCAAATACTAGTAGCTTACGAGTATCTTCTACTCTTAATGGCCATGTTTCGCTGCCGTAAAACAGAACGAACTGCGGCGCAGTATACTCGTCCTTTTATTGATAGACGGATATCTCGCCTTCATCATAGGTGACGTAAGTTGGTGAAATCCAACCGAGCTTTTCGAATCCGTGCTGAGATTTCTTCAGACACCAATCCATTTGGGCTGATCAAACTTCCAAGATAAGTGAAGTTGTCAACGCGTCCAACTACTTCACTCCCTATCCTTAGTTCAGGTGTTGACGCAGACCAGTCCTGAAGTAACAACTTGCACTTAGAGGGAGAGAAGCTCATTCCAAACATTCTGGCATTGTTGCTTAGTGCTACCAGAAGACTGCATTTTATCAGCGTCCTCACCAAACAGGACTATGTCACCTGCGTATTCTAAGTTGATAAGTGGACCTCCTGGAAGGAGATCAATACCTGAGAATTCAGTCGACAAGAATGTTATTTCTATCAATAGGTTTGTGATGAAGTTAAACAACAATTGAATAAGTGGACAGCCTTGACGGACACCACTTGAGGCTGCAAAAGCAGATCACAGTTCTCCATAAGCTTTGATTCGACTGGTAGTGTACGAGTAAAGAGCCTTCACAAGGTTTGTGTACTTCTGAGGTACGCCTTTCGATGACAGACACTGCCACATAATCTCGCGGTCTACAGAGTCAAGTGCTGCTTTGAAGTCAAGAAAGACCACCATCGTCGGACGCCGACAAGTATGCCTATGTTCTAGAACCTGACGAATGGTGAATATGTGGTCGATGCAGCCACGACCAGGTCTGAAGCCAGCTTGATTCTCTCGTGCTTGCAGTTCACGAGTCATAGTTAGGCGTCTGATAATTATCGAGGCTAGTATTTTAGATACTATATTAGTTAAACTAATCCCTCTGTGGTTGTCACAGGATGATTTCGACTCTCTCTTATATATTGGGACGATAAGTGATTGTGACCAGTCAGATGGGATAACGTCCAAATCCCAGATTTTAGCTAAAATATTAGTCAACCTAATCTCTAAAATTGAACCACCATCCTTTAAGACCTCTGGAGCCAATTCATCTGGACCAACTGCCCTTCCTCGTTTCAAATTAACTATAGCCTTTTGAACTTCATCTAGAAATGGGGGATCTACTTCAAAGAATTGTGAAACCTACCGATATCACTCTATGGAACAGGTATCACTAAGATCAAATGCATGGATTGGATATTTGTGAACATATCCTTACATTGAAGATTACACTGCTGTTATTCTCAAAACACCTGGAATGACATTTCTATATTTCATATCCTTTAGAACCCATATTTCTTAGTTAATTTCTCTCAAGCGACCAATCTGCTATATTATGTCAATATGGCCACAATACATAAGTAAACAATATAAGCTTGTAAATCATCTACACTTTCGTCTGCTGACTGTCCTTGATGTATGTATGTCAGGATTTCTATCAGAATCCTCAAAACATGACAAATGGTAAGAAGATCTATCATATGATGAAGGAAGTTTACGAGTTACTATGAAATAAATCCTTCAATCAAAGCTCAACAGATTACAAACTGTTTCATATAATGGAATCATGTATTTGTAAAATCTCAGCGAAAGAAGTAAATCCAACGTTTCACCTGGTAATCTGGTTCAAGCTTTTTCAAGGAAACATAGTTATGACTTATTTGTTCACGTATTCATTTATACACTTTTTTATTTATTATTTCAACACTGAACAGTTTTTATCTAGTATGACATTTCAGTTTCTAGCATCTCGACACCATGATGAGTAGCTACCAAATGAGTTAATTTTCTATATCAATTTTATATGGAAATCTTAAGTCTTACATTAATGTGATATTCATCTAAAGTGTAACGAAACTCAGTTTATTAATTCTTACGTCAAGATTAGTGTATCTAACAAGCTTTTCAAAGTTAATTAGGTGGATTGAAATTTAAACTCCGACCCATTAGATTGAAGTGAATCACACTTCAGTATGTAAGTAATGAACAAACTGCTTGGTATTTCAAGCAGCTTTTAAAAAAAATTTACTCAAAGATACTCTTCTATGAGTAAGTTAAAAGTGGAGGACATTATCTCATTTGTCAGTAATCACATATAATCTGATAAAATAAATGTTAATGAATCTTAATTCTTAAGTAATAAAGTTTTGTCATATTGTATTCTTTGTTCAGTATGCTTCTAGTATAGAATTAACACAACATTAAGCAAATAATATTTTGAACGTTGTTAATTATCCCAAAATTACTTGACCATGTTTTTCCTTTGTTTTAGATATAAAAATATTATGACAGCTAATGCATTTTTATCATCTAATTGTACAGTTGAAGATAATGTATCTGCTAGCCGTTTATTTTTACCCAAAGAATTACATATATCAGATGAATGGAGAAAATCTGAACAACGTTTGACCGCTTCAAATACATCAAATATGTCATCACCTATACATAATTTTAATATACGTGGTACATCAGTAACACCTATGGAATTATTTGCACAAATGACAGCTCATTATAAACAAATCTCTGAAAATTATAACTACGCACAATCAATGGAATTATTTTTGACCAATCCATCAGTAATAACACAACTCGCTTCAATGAATATGAGTAAAATTACTGAACCAGTATCAATATCAACATCAATATCACAACCACCCCCCTCTTCTCCGTCTTCTGCTCTTACACTTACACCTTTAACAACTATTTCTAAACCATCAGACTTACCGCCAAAACAAATCGATGATATTGATTTATCAACTAATCACAACCGAATGTCAACCAATGATTTTTTCCATGAGTTTAATATGTTGCCTAATTTGCATAGTTTATTAAAACAATCATTTGAATTAATAAGTTGTGACAGTTTTTCAAATATACAAATTGATAAATATTGTTCAGAGGATTTGTTAGCATTTACTTTAGAGGTAATTGTAAATGATAAAGTATATTATGGTAATATTTATGAAAAATTAAATAATCATTGGTTTAAATTAGAGTATATACATGAATTACAAATGAAAAAAGGTAATTTGTGTACATATTGTTGTAATGATAACTATGATGATAATAATGATAACGATGATGATAATGTTAGCAACGAAAAGACTAATGATGATGATGAAAGAAACAGAAAATATCAAAATAAATCTCATCGTTTTCTATTAGAATCCAGTTTAGAATTACACATAAAACTGCAACATTCTAAACAGATTTCTAATAATAATAATAATGATAATACATTAACTGTTATTTTGTCTAATTCATCTGTAAACGAATTAGTTGAAAAATTAAATTTACTTATTTCTAATTCTGCATTCTCAGATTTATTTCATTCAAGCTTAGAAAATCATTGTAAATTACAACCCTATGTTAAATCGATTTCTCCAAATCTGCTATCGATACATTTAAAACATGTACAATCAGACAGTTTTCAAAATATGCCAAAATCTTTATTACAAACAAATGAAATTGAATTCAATGATACTAATACTTCTGCATCATTTATAATAGAACAAAATTTTTCAGCAAAAAATCTTGCTACTAACAACAATACTACTCAAAATGATATAAGTAATATATGTGATTCAAATACTCCATTATCTTTATCAGTGATTACTTCTGATCAATCTAATTTATTTCATAAAGATATAAAAGATTCAATAATAAATAGTCCATTTGAAATGATAACAAACAATAATTGTTCAAATAATTCTAACTTATTATTAAACTATACTTTAACTAATAAAAATGATCCTAATGAGAATAATGATAATAAAAATAATCAAATTGATAAAGATAATAAAATGAATATAACATTTACTGAATCTTATTACAATTCTATAAAAGATTACAGTATTTATAATTCTACAAATTTTTTATCTAAATTATATTTAACTAATCCACAAGAAAGAAGTAAATTTATTGAACCCTATGAACAACAAATCACATCATCATCATCATTATCATTATCATCATTACAAAAACGAAGTCGTACACGTTTAAGTGAATCACAATTAAATATATTACGTTCATATTTTGATATTAATAATTCACCAACAGATGAAAAAATTTATGAAATTTGTAATAAAACTGGTTTACAAGAGAAAGTTGTTAAACATTGGTTTCGTAATACATTATTTAAAGAAAGACAAAAAAATAAAGATAATCCATATAATTTTTCAATACCACCAAGTACTAGTTTAAATATAGAAGAATATGAAAAAACTGGTCGAATTGAAGTACATTCAACATATTCAATGAAACAACATCATAAATTATATCATTTAAATATTGAACAAATGGATAAACATAATAATAATAATAATAATAATAATTTACAATTTGTAACAACTTCACAAGATTTAATTAATTCATCTAATATTAATAATGATATTGAAAATGAAAATATAAACATTAATGAATCATTGAATTCTCCAACAAAATCTTTAACTTCAACAATTAAAAGATCTTGTGAAATGGAATCATTGAAAAATATTGATCAAATGAAATGGATCAATCAAAATAAACGTCAACGATTACAGAAAGATATTCAAGATAGTAATATGAACGATGAAGTACGTCTCATTGTTAATGTTTTATATATATAGCTAGTTGGTTCATTTGATAATCTAATTATGATACCTCAGCATTGCGAACTAATGAAAGTAAAAACATTTTTTAAATAACAAACAATTTTTGCTTAGTGTAAGTAAAAGGATCAGAGAGTAAGCACCTATTGCACTTTTATTATTATTTTCTGCAAGAAACAATACCATCAAACAATGCAACAACCCAGAGACACTTTTAGTTTCCACCTATGGGAGTTGGAAAACCCTGATTGCAAACCAATTGTGCACATGGACACCAGGATCCTGAAGGAACAAATGCCGTATGAACCAATCGTTGGTCACCGGCTACTGTGAGACTGAATCTCCTTACGATGCTCCACTGCCTTGTGGATCAGACCTGTAGGTCGAAGGCTCCTGGCACCCGGGCAGTATCACAGCCCTCACACAAATCTCGTTTGATTTGTGTGGCGCACATGTATCTGATGCCTCCTTGTACCAATATCTATGTGTTCAAATAAATAAGTAAATTGTTTTCAGTTAAAACATACATTTATTACTGAACAATAGAATATGCACTAATGATGCACACTAGAAGACTAATTAAAATCAGTCATCAACCTAGAATTTACCCATCATTACAAGTTATGTATGCTATTTTACATTATTATATATTGGAGGAGAGAATTCACAAGATTGAAATTAAATCAATCAAAACAATAATATTGATGACAGTAAAATGCTTAAAATGGAAAATATAGTTCTTAGAAAAAGGAATATGATAAATAAATAATAACGCAAAAATGAAATTAAGCTTTTAGTGACCCAAGATCTGACTCCAGTTAGATCATATGAATGTTATTGAAATATACATATCGTCAATCCTCGTATAAAATTATCGGATTTAATCCGCTTTAGTGTATAACGGAATTAAGTAAGTCAATTACGAGAATGAAGTTTTGAATGTGTATATTTTGTGCACTCATTGATTTGTGGAACGAAGAAAAGAGAGCGAAGCAAAATAACAGGCGGTGGAAGATGGTGGGTGAGCCAACTCGATTTAACCGAGCGTTAATCAACATTTATAGTCACACAAAAATAAGCTACAGACATGGATGAGTACGATAAAAAGTGTACACACATACGCTCATGTAAAAATAATCAAGGTTGGTAAGGGAATAATTAACAAGGTCAAAACGTGACTTAAGAATGGAGAAATTGGCCTGTCCAGAAGCTAGAACAAATTCTATGAGTTTAACATAGTAACTGACACTACAAGCTCGAAATCCAGTGCAATATAAATAATGAATACAAATGTACGATTGTAACCGATTTTTCTCAGTATCACCAATGCAACAAATTTAAAATAGAGTAATTATCTATCTTACATTATTCATGGTTGTGGGTACTGAGTATAGTTTCCTCTCAAATAAGTACTTTTTTGTCTAAAATTGAATTTAATCTATTAAATATACACAATAGTTTGTTTGAAAGAATTCTATACAGAATCCGATTTTTCATTTGCTTACTTTTTCTAGAGACCTACATCAATTGTATCGATTGAAGATTCAGATGTTATGTATAATGACAAAAGAAATTTACATTCAACAATGACAACAACCACAACGACAACTCCATCAACTGAAAATACTGATGGTGATGTTCATTCATTTGTATTAGCTGATAATTCAAATAATTCGCATGAATCACCGCCATCAATTACATCGGAAAGTTCTCCATCTATTTCTGAAACTCCATTATCACCAAAATTACCCATGATACCAGAATTAGATAATCCTCAAAGTGTTCTTGCTGCACTCATTCATCTTGGTCATCATAATCGTATTCAACAGCTATCAAAATCCGAAAGTGAACAAAAATCAATAAATTTGTGGGAGTTTCCTTACTTCTCATCAACATCGTTATCATCTTCTATTCGTGGATTTTCAAATGGTACTGAAGTGTATACAGATCCAAACAAACTACATTGTCAGCTAACAGCACTTATGAATGCATCATTAAACAGAACTATGCCACATTTTCAGACTCCACCAGATTCAAATGAAGCTCCATTGGATTTAAGCGCTAAAACAACTCCGTCAGTTATCGTAAATTCTACTGGTGATAATAACTGTCAAAATAGTACATCTTTTATTCTTGAACAAAATGCACAGATAATGGATAATGAAGATAATAATGACTTTACAGTTAATAATCAAGATCAATTTCTTTCTGTCCCATCTTTAATTCAAACAGAACATGTTTCTGGCGTTTATCGTTCAACAAGTACAACCTCTAGTACAAATGGTGGACGTAGAAATAGAACTAGTATTACAGCACTTCAATCTAGATGTATGCATTCGATATATAATTATCATAAAACTCCATCAGTACATGAATGTGATCGATTAGGTGAAATGATTGGTTTGTCACGACGTGTTGTTCAAGTATGGTTTCAAAATCAACGTGCAAAAGAAAAGAAAATGGCACGTGTTTCATCAGGACAATATAATTTTTCAGTAAATTCATCTTTATTAACTGAAAAATCATCACCATTAGATTCTTCTTCTTGTATAGATTCAAATTATTGTCAAATATGTTCAATATCTATTCAGAAATCAGAAATAACTAATCAACAAGCAACAAATGCTTGTAATCAGTCAACAAATTTTACATCACATGCATCATTTGTAGATCATCTTTTCTCAGCGGTTCATTTGAAAAAGTTATTACGTTGGTGTACAATGGATACTACTTAATTAAATTGTATAGCCATAATTATTGTATTGTATATTTCTCCATACATCGACTTATATTTCATAATCCTTTCAAAATTTGTCATATAATGACTGCTAATTCTCCTTTCTTCATTTTACTTCCTCTTCGTTATTTTGATGATGCATAGGAAAATGAACGTAAATTACCTTACATTCATTGGTAAAAATGGGTTGAGAAACCCATAATTCACTTCCCCCCCTCATTCTACCCTTGGTTTTTTTAATGATTTCTATTTCATTGTTCCGTCAAATTTTACTTTACCCTGCTGTGTCTATTATTTCAAGAAAAAGATCCATTCTTTTTCAAATAATACCAAATAGTTGAAGTTGTTGCAGTAAAACCATTTTGTCAAGAAAGTTTCTTTTAGCAACAAATCATACATTAACGATAACATTAACAATGATACTATTACAGATTATTAATTAATATTTGCATAATATCTATGATTATCCTTTTTGTTTCTTTTCTGATCTAGTAAAACGTTTTCTTTTACTAGAAACGTTTTACAAATAAAAATACCTCATGTTAATTATTTCAGCGACTAATCTCTGTAATTATATATGAATTAGTATGTTTTTTTTCTCGATTGATGGCAACACCACAGAAATCCGTTTATATACATATATATATATAATCTATATTGTAAAAAGTCAAATTATACAAAAGTGTTGTTTTAAATGTTCAAACTAATAGGTGAATGATGTGAATACATTCACTGTTCGTTGATCAAGGATATATTAACACTATATCAACACTAAAATATAGTTACAATTGTGATGAAACTCTTTAGAGTAGAATAAAGTATTTAGTTAAGAACTAATGGTCAAGAGTAGTGTACTTACTATTTTAATGCTCATAACAATCTCTTTATATACTTTTTGACAAATTTGCTACACTAGCTTAAATAGATTTGCGAAAGAAAATATTTGGGGAGTGAATGCATAAATTAATAGAGGAAAAGTTTCTACAAAAGAAAAACAGGGAACGTTTTGTATTTTCTGAAAATGTCCATCGTAGACAATTAGTAAAAAAGTAGTCGATCAGTATGTTCAGATTAATTTGTTTGATATGAGTATGGGGGATTCGTAATTTTTCACACTTGGTGATGTTTTTTCACACTTGAAATCACGGACTGATCACCACCAAAAATCTGGAAGTACTGGACGACCGTTTCGTTCTAGGATGAGACTACTCAGAAGTGATCATGCACGATTCCGCACGTAAGGATCGAACCCAGGACGTTCGGTTTCTCAAGCAAATGTTTAATCTCTAGACCGTTGAGCCACTATCCAACAAAGTTGACACAGGATTGCATAAGACTTAGGACTGATTAAAGTTTAATTTCCTGGCACATGTTCGTAGATGAGCACTGTTGAGGAGTCCCATGCCAAGATGAAAAGTTTGTCCATTGCTACGAAGCTTTTCAGTGATGGTCTACCTAAAATCAGTTTGTGATTTCAACTATGATTCGTTTGGTATTGTTTTTTGTGACAAAATATTTACTATTAAGCAATAAAATGCACATTACAATAAATAAGCAAACTATGAAAGATTATTCCTGTTTAACAAACATTCTACTCACTTGTAAGACCTATGTTTTAGTGCAGAGTCATGATAAAGAACTAAGTGGGAAAAAGTTTTTGCTAGACTTTTTTTAATATTTCACTTTATAGAAATAGTGGTTCCCAATTTGTCACTGAATACAACATATTCTTTAGACTTTCAATAGTTACGTATGTATGAACGCTTTACTGATTGTATTAATAGAAATGTCTTGGAAACTCAGATTTCCCCTTACGTAATATCGTCAATAAAAGAGCACCAAAAATCACTGTTATAATAGTTGAAAGCTATTATTATTTCATTAAAATATTCAACTGTATGAATAGAGGATATTTGTATCATATTTTATAGTTACGAATCATAAGGAAAAACAAAGCCGGAGACAATTTGGTTTTCTTTTATGGTCAAGAATATGAATCTAAGATTTTAAGAAGAAGAATCAAACTGTAGTGAAGGAGAACACAGGTACTTACTTACTTACGCCTGTTACTCTCAATGGAGCATAGGCCGCCGACCAGCATTCTCCAACCCACTCTGTCCTGAGCCTTCTTTTCTAATTCCATCCAATTCTTGCTCATTTTTCTCATGTCTATTTCCATTTCCCGGCGTAATGTGTTCTTTGGCCTTGAGGATTCTATATGAGAGCTTGTCTTGTGACGCAGTTGGGTGCTTTCCTCAATGTGTGTCCTATCCAATTCCAGCGCTGCTTCCTGATTTCTTCCTCCATTGGAATCTGGTTTGTTCTCTCCCATAGTAGGTTGTTGCTAATAGTGCCCGGTCAACGGATCCGAAGTATTTTGCGTAGACAACTGTTAATAAACACCTGTATTTTCTGAATGATGGCTTCCGTAGTTCTCCAGGTTTCTGCCCCATACAGTAGAACTGTGTTGACATTTGTATTGAAAGTCCTGACCTTGGTGTTGGTTGACAGTTGCTTTGAGTTCCAGATGTTCCTCAGTTGTAAATATGCTGATCTTGCTTAACCGATCCGCGCCTTCACATATGCATCAGATCCACCATGTTCATCAATGATGTTGCCCAAATATGTAAAGGTTTTTACCTCTTCCAAATCTTCTCCGTCAATTGTGATTGGATTGATGCATGCTGTGTTGTATCGGAGAATCCTGCTTTTCCCGTTTGTGTATATTGAGACCTACTGCTGCTGAGGCTGCTGCTACACTGGTCGTCTTCTGCATTTGTTGTTGCGTTTGGGATAGCAGGACCAGATCATCTGCGAAGTCTAGATCGTCCAACTGCATACTAGATGTCCATTGTATCCCGTGTTTCCCTTCAGATGTTGACGTCTTCATGATCCAGTCGATCACCAGGAGAAAGAGAAAGGGTGAGAGTAAGCAACCTTGCGTAACACCGGTATTCACTTCGAACGACTTTGTCAACTGTCCTCCATGCACGATTTTGCAGTGTAATCCATCTTATGAACTCTGTATGATATTGACTATCTTCTGAGGCACGCCGTAGTGTCGAAGAAGTTTCCATAGTGTTGTTCTGTCCACGCTATCAAATGCCTTTTCGTAGTCAATGAAGTTGATGTAGAGTGATGAATTCCATTCAATTGATTGTTCCACAATGATCCGTAGAGTTGCGATTCGGTCTGTACACGATCTATCCTTACGGAATTCTGCCTGTTGGTCACGAAGTTGGGCGTCTACGCAGTCCTTCATTCTGTTTAACAATACTCTGTTGAAGACTTTTCCCGGTATTGAAAGAAGAGTTGTTGTAGTTGTAGTTGTCACAGTTGCTGAGGTCGCCCTTCTTTGGTATTTTGACCAGAAGTCCATCTTTCCAGTCTGTTGGTAGTTGTTCCTCATCCCAAATCTTATTGAAGAGAATGTGGAGTATCCTTGCAGTTGCCGCTACGCCTGCTTTTAGTGCCTCTGCTGGAATGTTGTCTGGTCCTGCTGCTTTGCCACTCTTGATTTGTCTGATGACCATGCTGATTTCTTCAATTGTTGGTGGGCCAACATTGATTGGGAGGTTCGTGGGCGCTGCTTCGATGTTGGGTGGGTTCAGTGGAGCTGGTCGATTCAAGAGTTCTTTGAAGTGTTCTACCCACCTGTTTCGTTGCTCTTCAATGTTGGTGATTACCTCGCCTTCTTTGTTTTTCACTGGTCGTTCAGCTTTGCGGCGATTTCCAGAGAGCTTCTTTGTTATGTCATACAGTTGTCTCGTGTTTCCTTCTCTTGCAGCCTTTTCCGCCGTCGTTGCTAAATCATCCACATATTTACGTTTGTCGGTTCTGATACTCCTCTCCACTTGTTTGTTTACTTTTGTGTATTCAGCTTGTTCCTTGACTTTTTCTGCTCTTGTTCGACTGGTATTGATTGCTGCTTTCTTGTTCCTTCTTTCTTGAATCTTATCCAGTGTGTCAGCAGTGATCCATTCCTTGTGATGGTGCTTCTTGTGACCCAGGATCTCATGACATGTTGAAGTGATTGCCTCTTTGATCCCCTTCCAGTCGCTCTCCACAGTAGTTCCTTCACCGTTGAGTAGATCTTGAAAGGCATGGAACTTGTTGCTGAGGCCTATCTTGAATTTGTTGAGTTTGTTAGTATCCTGAGGAAAGGACGTATTGAACTTTTGTGATATTGTCCGCCCCATTGTCCAGTGCTTCTTGAGTTTCAATTTCATCTTGGCGACCAGCAAGTGATGATCTGATGCTATATCAACTCCTCTCTTGGTTCTCATGTCCTCTATAGTCCTCCTGAACGTTTTGTTGATGCAAATATGGTCGATTTGGTTTTGTGTGGTGTGATCCGGTGAAGACCATATGATTTTGTGTATGCGTTTATGTGGGAATATGGTGCCGCCTATGACCAGTTTATTGAAGGCACATAGGTTTGCAAATCTCTCATCATTTTCGTTCCTTTCTCCCAGTCCGTGTCGTCCCATGATGTCTTCATATCCAGTGTTGTCCGTTCCAACCTTGTTATTGAAATCTCTCATCAGAATGGTCAGGTCCTTTGTTGGGCACTTCTTGGTGATTGACTGCAGCCTATTGTAGAATTCATCTTTAGCGTCTTCATTGTAATCGTTGGTAGGCGCATAGCATTGGATGATGTTAATTGAAATGCCCTCTTTCGTTGTTTTGAAGGAGGATTTGATGATCCTTGGTCCATGAGATTCCCATTCTATAAGTGCCTTTTGTGCTTGTTTGGACAGCAACAATGCAACTCCTTGTGTATGTGGAGCACTTTCTTCTTCATGGCCGGAGTATAACAGAAGCTCTCCTGAAGCTAGTCGTTGTTGTCCAACTTGCATCCAATGTGTCTCACTGATCTCAGGCACATCTAGATTGTATCTCCTCATTTCTGCGGCAATTTGGAAGGCTCTCCCGGTATCCAACATTGTACGAACATTACATGTACCTAAATAAATGGTCGCTCTGGTTGTCAGAAGGGGAATCGCCTTCGTAACTTCCGAAGGAATTCGGCTTTCATCATGAGGCATCATAGTTCTTCTAAATGAAGACCTGACTCTCAGGGCAGAGTTTAAAAGGTTTGAATAATTTTTTCTGGTTAGCGTTGTTGGAATCCTCAAGGCCAAAGGAAAAGAGAAAGACCAAAGAACACATTAAGCCGAGAAATGGAAATAGACATGAAAAAGATGAACAAGAATTGGATGGAATTAGAAAAGGAGGCTCAGGACAGAGTGGGTTGGAGAATGCTGGTCGGCGGCCTATGCTCCATTGGGAGTAACAGGCGAAAGCAAGTAAGTGTTGTTTTAGCGAGTTAGTCTCCTACGGAATGGAGACACTAACCCCTCCTTCTTTATCCGGGCATGGGACCAGCAGTAACCCCAGACGGACTCCAGGTGGAGAGCACATGTGAGTTCAACCACATCATATTAAGCTCAGAATTACAGTTACTTGGTAAAATAAAATAAACCATATAGTTAAACGTTAATTTGCAAAATATTATTCCATTATATCAAACCGGACTGTTGCTGTTGCAAACATCAATCCATTGTCTCACATTTCATTGTTCATGCGATTTCTTACAAATTCCCTTATGTTCTCGCTTTTTTTCTAGATCTTTTCCATCTTCTGCTGCCAGACATTACGTTCTTTTAACTCACGTTATATACTACTTATATCAATATAAGTAGCACGCACCACAATACCACTGTTTACAGATACTTAAAAGATTCATATTCAATGTGTAGGTTGATGAGCTTATAGGTTGAATGAAATTAAAAGAATAATATTCAGAATGAATATAGATTATTTGGAACGGGAGAAATATCATTATACCAAATATTAGATAACGTAATTTATTAGATGATATACTTTAAGCATGAAATCAGCGTAAACCGAAATGTTCGTATACTAAAGGGATAAAAATTCATCAAATCAAATCAGTTTGGAAATTCAAATAATTAGGAGCTTTAGAGGATATAAGTCTAAGACTTTTTAAGCTTAAATCAATTCACCGTAATAAAAAAGGTTTACTTCACTTCCCTTAAATGAAAAATTGGTACTTCTTCTGTGATTAGAATAAATATTTTTACTATTATTTAGACAGTTCGTACACAGGCAAATTGTTTTCGACACTATATGATTGTTCAGCTTCATTGATTTTCTGGCGAATAAATATAGCATAAAATTTGGGAAAACATGACATTAGGATTCGTCCACAAGTAGTTGATGGGATATGTAGGACAAACTATTTAATCCAAACGATGTTCCGCCGAATATCATTCGTTAAAACCATTGCAGTGTATAAGAATTCAGATGGGGAAGGCGAATTTTTTTGTAAAGCAAAATTACAGAGTGCTTTGCTAATATATGAAAACCACACATTAAATACATTATTTGTACATCTTCCTTCTGTTGTCTCTTACATGCTTCATGATCTTTCCAATTCTGTTGTTATTACCATTCTTTTCTGTTTACCTTTCCATTCCCTTCAATTCGATCTTCTGTTAATAGACGCTCCACTTCCGATTGCTGCTATATACTATTTATATCCGCACTACACCACTACTGTCATCATTGACATCATTACTGTTTCGGCTTTGTATCAAACTTCAGTAGAAGCGCCATTCGGCTTGCTATTTCAGATAACAGGGTCAGGAGAACCGCAGTTTACGTCACTAAATCTCTTCACACTTTTGAGTCGCTGGTAACATTTGTATAAGCATAAACTAATGAAATTAAAGTAGAGTTGAGGTTAATAATGTCAATAGATATTGACTATTCCAAAAACATGTAAGCCAATTGACAATTTTACGAAGTTCCTGATTAAAACAATAATACACTTAACTGATCACACCTGGCACAAATTAACAGAGAAAATGTCTGCAAAAAGTATGTTTTCCATCAGGTTCTTTAAATAAAACTATGACTCATGGCGTTTATAAGCTTCTTTCTTACATCACTAGTCTCACATAATCTGCCTGTATCGATACAACCAGGTAATATCGTTGGTCTTAATATGAAACAATAAACTGATAGCTATTGAGTGATGTTTCTAAAGTATATAATTATTCATTCCATTGTTTTTTATAGAGCTTCTATTATAGTGAATTAAAACTAAGCAATGTTCAGCCGATCTCTACCATCTCAGATAACTAAAGTTGCAAATCCGAACATTCAAACAAGCAAAAATAATCGTTCATGGTGCCTATAACACAATCTCTTATACATAAGTGCCCATAATATTGAAGAACCGTTTTTACATGTGGTATTTTTTTGAGTCCGTCTACCATCATTTGCTAATCACTAAAAAATTTCGGGAAGCCCCACCCAGCTCATTACATGTTGGAAGTTATGAGGTGAGAAAAATCAACATTACTTGTACAGGATACAGTCAACTCTGTTATACAAAATACCTAGTTGAACATGTCAAATTTATGTAGTAGCAATGTTTCGTGTGTCGAAGCTAACTACTTTCTAATGTTGTTAGTAGATTGACAGTATTTGTGGAAAATATCAGTGCTTTAGAGTTCAACAGGGTGTGGTCGTCTACAAAGATATTTACTAAATCAATCCAGATATGTCACATTTAAAATGACACTAACCACTTGTGAAGTCCAACGAGAGAAAGTAAGCCTATACACAAATTTAGCAGTTAGGATTGCAAAGAGTACAGCACCATCTCATTAGAAAACCAAGAACCAATAGATCTAATTAACGACTGTCTGCATTATGTTATTTATCTTGAATCTTGCAAACACACTGACTTCCTAAAAATAATCCATAATTCATACAGTATCTGAATCATTTCTCTAAAGGAAATTTTCCAGTTACGATGGACAGGAATGTGGGACACAATTACAAATCAATAATAAACAACAGATATTTTCAAAGTAATAGGGCAACCAGTAAGAGTTAATAGAAAGAGTACCTAACTGTTAAGGGCTTATTGCTATTTATAAACAAAGCAGCTGAGCAAGTTGAGAACAGAAATAATGTGTTCTAAACCCTGGTGCTTGAAAGTAATGGATGATTGGTTTATGTTTGAATAATATTATTTTAGTTATACGATTTAAGTTAAAGTTCTCCCGTTTCGAATTTCATAAAATTCTAAAACAAGATGTTCATCAGATATGTATGGGATTCCGACGTAGGATGTCATCCTAAATACATTTCAATTTCAAGTCTTCTTAAGATTAAAAATGAATTTCAGAAAATTTACAAAAATACTTAATTTTAGAAATGAAAATTCATTGGTGAGAGTTGATAATGACAGAAACAAAGGTTATGCAAGCAACGAATATATTTATTTTATACAATCAGTATAAAAGTATCCCAATTTCAAATCCCAAATGCCTTCCTAGACAGAATAAACATATGACTTGTTGGGAACAAGAAAAAAAGATCAAATAATAGTAATGAAGTGTGCTTTACTAGTCTTACCTGAAAAGTAAAATTAAAAATAATGTCATGGTATAAATGTTCGTATTTATAAACTTCCCAGAAATACGTCTTTTACCTTTGTCATGAGGAATAAATGCTCTACATCTTCAATGAGCCTGCTTACAAAACGTCATTAGATTTGTAACTCATTTCTAAAATATAGATTTATGTAGATTAAGAACACAAACGTTTTAGTTGTTGTTATCCCCACACAGTAGGTACATGTTTCTCTCAATAGCAGTTGAAAGTTAGGGAAGTGACCATTAGGGAAATGAACGCCCTTGAGTTGAAGAACCAATTTGACTTGAGGAAATTAACATTATCAGAAAAATTTGTTCTGAACTAGGTACTCGACTTGATCTTGAAAGTGTCATTCGGTTAGCTTAATAAACGAATTTGTCAAGATTTTAGTCATCATGTGCCGATATTATCTATTTATTTGAATGAGAAATCTGATATTCTCAAAGGGTGCACTGATTTAAATAGGAGTATTCATATCTTGCAAATTGATTATTACTAATAAAAGCGTTCCAAGTGACGAAGCCTTAGCTGGCTATAGCGTACCTTGACCAGAACTCACATACGTAATTCACATTAGTTGAGCGGCGCCGAGATAATTGGCAATACATTTCAATGGATAAGAAAGTTCTTCTTTGGACTGAAGCAAACTAATGTCTCCAATTAAAAAACGGTACATAGGGGGGTGCAACAGATAATCTTGAAACCAATGCTACCTCGTTTCAACATAAAAACCTTCCTATCCTTCCATGCCGAGCTATTTTTCACACGTTTAGAAACATATAGGATGAAGCTAAACAAAAAGAATGTTGCGGAGCTTCAGGAAGATTCGACTAATTTGACATAGTGGTCTAAAATCTGGCAAAATCAATAAGTAGTGACAAGTGCATCATGATTCTGAATGTAGATCCATGTGGAATGATGTAAGTCTACTTATTATATGGATGAGTGATGGTAATGAATTTAAAGTCCTTTAGAAATCTCAGCCTGAAAAAAAGACTTACACCTGAATATGAACTCTCACACCCTAATGCCAATCAATGGAATCCTTTTCCATAACACTTAATAACAGATCGCTCTTTAAGTACATCAAAAGGAAAATCTCATTAAGAGAAATACCTTCATCACCCGGACTAATAAAAAAAAGCTTCTTACAACCTATTTCTCCCAGCCGAAATCAAAGAAAAAGTACGGACCGTATTAAAATATTACTTTTATACATTTCGGGGGTATATGTAAACAACTTAAAGAAACAGAATGAAAAAGAACGAATTCAAAAGATATCCAGTCACAACAAGATCCCATTAGTTTCGGACTGTTTTTCTGGGTAGGGACATGAAACCCAGTAAACATCGTAGAAAAATAAAATAAAATGATTTTGTCTGAACAATGTGTTTTCTAAGTATATCATAACAGTAACCATTATTACATACGTACATCACAAGGCGCTGAAAACACAGTGTTTGAAACTAAACAAGGGATATTTATCTTTTTAATTTTGTCGAAAGTAACGAAAAAGACAAAGATACAATACAATAACAAAGCAGATACGCTGCACGAAATGAAAACCACATTATTCGCCCTCAATATAAAGCCTTGGGATTGGATAACAATTAAAAATAATCTCATTTAGTTTCGTTTTAGTGAAAACCAGTTGATCGTTTTCTGCAACTCATCGATCTTTCTATCTTTCAGTGACAAAAGGCTCTCCAGTTTCCTGAGTTTGGCATGTAATATTTCAATAGTCTCATTCAAAGTTATGCACTGCTGAATTTTCTCGTCAAGATAGACACGTGGAACATATTCAGAACGTTTTGTTAATGTGCACTTTGGTCTTTGGTCATTCATATATACATGCCCATTTGGACTATGTTCCCGTGCAATAGATGTCCTTCCAGGGTATTTGACAGGATGATCTAATGAAGGTGGACGAATTCCTGGAAGAGACTGAGAATTCCCCATTCTCTTGTTTCGGGATTTATTCACAGGGGATTTTGACTCATCACGGACTCCACGAGTATGTGGATAGCGATCGGCCTCAGGTTGATAATCATAATATTTGCCTTTATCATCTGTAACCATTCGCTCAATTCTAGTTCTGAGTAACAATAGAACTTTTTCGATAGTTCCTGGCTTGGCAATAGATAAACTTTCTATGACATCATCCGAGAGCTCAAAATTTAACTTTTTGAAAACTTTCCAGTTCAAAAGTTGCCAGTTTTTACGTTTGGATTCAACAGAGTTACAAGTTGGGAAGTTATGTACGTCTACAAATTTAGGAAAATAATACTTCATAACTTCAGCCATCAGAACACCATCTGAAAAATCACGAGCAATATTTCTCTTGATTCGAGATAGGGGAATCTTGTCAACCCATACATAGAGATCCTGCAGTAGTGCATCATCCATATCCATTCATATTGTTTTCCAAAACCAAAAGTATGCATAACAATCACTATGTTGAATAACTCTCCGTTATGCAGACAAACAAATTATTTTGGGTTGAACCACGTTACACCATATGCCGCTATGCTATCTCACTATATTAGGGTAAAGAAGCCATGATTTTAGTCGTAGAGTCCCGTTATACATCGTTAACATGTTACATTGTTTACGGACCACAAAGTAAATGTGTTACACATATCAGATAGATCTTGCTGTCTGAAGAAAACTGGCGTCGAATACACCTGTCGCGTTTACTGAATTCTTGAGTCTTTTATTGTGATATTTGTGAATCAGTCCCAATTTTCTTGAAGTATATCCCATATTTTGAAGTAAACTATTTGACGTCATCACTTAAATTATTTATTGATTTACGAAACATGAAGCACTGATTTTCTGCGAGTAACATGTGAGAAACGTATATACATATTAACTTGGCGAGATGCCAACACATCTTTCATACGTCTTCTATTGATCAAATACTATGATTTTCATACTTGCACTTATGTTGACCATAATTATCACATGAGCTTACGAAATTGTTTTTGTTTAGTTGTTGTATCCACATTTCTATTGATGTACTAATTATTATTATGATGACCACAATGATTTTATTTCAGGACGCTTTCTCTCACTGGCGATAAAATGGTTGCAAATGCTCCAGAAAAGGTTTTCATGGGACAATGTAAAGTATTTTGGCAGATAACGACAACCAACATGTGAAATTTCCGAGTTTAAGCTTCCAACTAATGGGTAAAAATCGCATGAATGGTGTTCTCGTGCGCAGATATATTCCTTTTGGCTAGCGAAATACGATCCTAAGCCGCTCATCATCCACACTCGGTAGGGGAACGTCCACTCAAAATTTCATTTGTGTTTGGAGATCTCACTGACCAGGTCATGGGAGAAGCAGGTTGGTCACCGTCGTAGGTGATGCTTGTCGAATGATTGAGGCTCACTCTAGTAAAACGGAAGTGGCTTGATCAACTAGCTAACGTTAAATTCACACTTCATGATTAGTACCTGATGTGGGTTGCCCTTTTGTCAAATTTGGGTACTATGGCTACTTAGGTGACCGTACAACACGAACTACATCACTATAGAAATATGTTAGTGAAGGTAAGTACACGTCACAGAGTTCGAACACCATCGCACAGGTTAGTCTGCGGCATGTAGCTGATTGATCAGCGATGGTTGTCCTTTGTCTTGACGACGATAGGTGACCTGTCCATATTCAGCGGTCTGACTCTCAGATTATTTCATCGACCCTACATCGACCCTACTATATAATGAAATAAGGGCTGTATTCATTCAGTTCACATCTCGGTCAGACAACCACATATGTCTTATCAATAAACTCAAACAATTGGATATCAAATCACCTCTGATTGATTGGCTGACTTGATATCTAAAAAATCAACATTTTAAGGTCAGGGTTAGCTTCACTTTCTCTCAGGCTATTGAATGTCCTAGTGGGGTTCCCCAAGGTTCAGTACTAGGGCCTCTTCTTTTCTTGATTTATATAAACGATCTTCCACAAGAGGTCTCATTTGATTCATTACTTTTTGCCGATGATGTGAAACGCTGTAGAGAGATATCCAACCAAGAGGATATACTGGCACTTCAGTAGGATCTGCCTTGACTTCAAAGTTGGGCAGATGACAGCGGACTTACCTTTAACATTTCAAACTGTAAATTAGTCCATCTGAAATATGTTTCAGTCTACATTTACAACTCAAGAAACTCCTCGCTAGAAGTATCCGAAGTTGAAAAAGATTTATGAGTACTGGTACTCTACTATTTGAAGACTTACGCTAACTGTGATAAAAATTCCTTACGAGTAAACCTTGCACTGGTAACATTGAAACTCATTTTCGGTCAGTTTGACAGAAAAACTTTCCACATAATGTTTAACAGTTTTATCCGTCCCATTTAGAGTACTGAAACATAGTATTTCCCACCTCGTTCCAAAAGAATAAGGACATTCTAGGGCGTATCCAAAGGCGAACAACGAAATCAGTTCGGCGACTCAAATCCAAGACTTGTCAAATGCTGGAGCTCGCTGCCGGCTGAGCTAGTGCAAACGACTTTCCATGAGTCCTTTAGGAGGCAACTTGACCTATTCTTAAGGACCAAAGATAATATCTTACCATGATTTACCATTTTCTTTCTTCCTCTATTGTCGTTGATATACCTAGGTTCCTGCATGGAATTATTGATGGTCTACTGCTACTAGACACGGGAGCCCGTTAAGCGAAAGCTTCTTCTATTCCGTCCGCAACTATTTGAACCATGTGAACCTTGGTTTGCCGAGCAATCTAATTTCGATAAATTCTCCTTGCATTCACCAATACTAATCTTCCCTCCTCGCTAAATGTTGAATGTGAATTGTTTTGGTTAATTTATGTTCAGTGTTGAGGGTCGTTTGGTTTGAACCGGTGATGCTACAAGGTTACTGTTTCCTCGCAGATACTTGTATCCTGTACAATCAAAATGACATCATCAGAGCAAAATATTAGGCCGAGAAACGTGTGCATTCACGAACTGGAAGTTTAGTCTCGGCGTGATTTGTACTTCTCAAACTTTTTCTGTGTTCTTACGCAACAAGAATACTATATTTCATTCAATGAATTCGTCCTGAGCCTAACGTTTAGCAGATTACCTTTCTTTTTGAGTTTCATCCAACGTAATGCCTAAGGTTACTGTTCCGTTTTTATAACTAATAACATCTGGACTAGTTTAAGCATATCCTGACTCTTTGTAACACTAATTTTATCCGTTTTTACCCATTTTGGGTGTATTGTTTTTTATTTTACGATGGTAAACTTTTGCTAGCATCTATCTAACAAATCACATTTCATCATGGTCATGAATAAATCACGGAAGCCCTTTGGTACGGTTTTGCTGTCACTTGCAGTACGTAATGGAACGAATGTATAGGCTGGATTCACGAAGCATGCACAGCTCTTGCAGTAACTGCTCACAGCGAAATTAGTTAGTCAGATTTCATCCAAGTATGCGGTACATGCAACAAGGATGCTGAAAATTTGCTGGGCAACATCTTCATTCTCTTGACAAATTTGTGGAAAAAGGTGTCAGGAAATCTTATAAATGGCAGTCCAGAAACGGACAAACAAACAAAAACGTATAGTGGGGCGAAGAAAAGTGTTTTCGACAACATTAGTATTGATGGGGCACGTATCGGCACATAAGGATGTGATGAAATTCAGCATTAACATGAAATCGGTGGTTTTAGACTCTCTCAACAAGCTTGCGTCCACCAGCACGGGCCTCGTAACTGCAGATGTAGTCCCCAAAAATTCTATTGGCAACTGGACCCCGTCAGCAGATTCAAAAAGGATCGGGCGTCACCGTCAAAGATGTTGGATACCCCAGATCTTGTAGGAGGATCAGTTAGCGAGTTAGCCGTGTAATCTAGCCCTAAGGTTATAAAACCAGTCAGCATTGAGCCTGACGCGGTTACCCAAGCTATAAGATTCTTCTTTGAAATCACGTTAATGTCTGCACTGACTCGTCCTATAGTGACAATCGGCAATACGTTGTCTAGCACTTCTGAAGGACACATTTGAGCTAGGGATAGAACAATGTATGTTACGTTTCACACGCCAACTCCTAGGATGTAACTCGAATCTCGATTACACAGATAGATGTAAGCACCTCTCTTTAGGTCCTTTATGGCAACGTAGGCTAAAGAACAATTTAATATTTCTCTACAAAGCGTTATATGGGCTCTCCTTTCTAACCTCCTGCCCGACTATCACCCACGACCCAGCCTATAGACTTAGAAACAACGCATACACACTACTTACCGTAAAACACCAAAAACAAATGCGATGTAAGTTCTTTACAGTACGGTACAGTTTATTGTGGAACAGGCTGCCAATGCCTATCTGTAATTGTGATACGTTTATCAGATTCAAAAGGCTAATAACCCTATTGGAATAAAGCCATTAATAATAATAATAATAATAATTTCTAGACTCCAAAGAGCTTCAACATTTCCTTGAACTCCCGCCCACCAATGAGGCACTTTATTACGGACCGCCTAGTATCTAGAAAGAACAAAATTATAACAAGTCCGACTGTTACTAATATGAATATAACCAAATCACAGAACATATGGCTTATCCTTTCATATTATTCATTGTTTATTATTCATGACTTCATGCTCCTAACCCTAGCTTTCAGTTCCCAAATCTCTACAGGTTAAATGTACATTATTCTTCCTAAAAGTCGCCTTTTATTCCACTGCAAGTAGACAGATAGCTCAATCTTATGAATGCTGATCTACTAAGGCCGACCATTCAAAGTTCAAAATTTGACCACAACGTCTTGTGAGTTTCTCATTGTTTTATTTGTCTTAACCTGAAATTTTTTTTCTACGATTTTATACCCTCTCATATATTTTGATTTGCTATTAGTCCTTACTTCTTTAAACCATTAGTTATTTTCATAGCAGTGTGATATACTATGTGGACATCTAACCCATAAAACAATTTTTTTTAACTATCTGATTTGCTTGTAACATGGACCTAGTAGATACAGTGTATTCCAACTATGGGCTTTGATTAAAGCAGTATTCATACTTACCACAAACGTAAGAGAGCCTAACATCACAAAAGGAGGGAGGGCGGCGTTACTGACCAGCAAACATGAAGGTGGGGAGATAACTTCAATCCACCCATGTCTGTAGGGCGGAACATTTTGTTTAGTTACGGCTCCTCATGGTTTAGTGGGATGTCACGAACTTGAGATATTAAAGCTGATTTATCATGCAAAATACTTCTTTAAATCGCATTAGGAACGTTGAATTGGTTTCACTTCCCACCGAGTAATCCTATTACAAGCAAACTAGACAATTCGCTAATATAGGAAGCCTACTCAAGACCCCATGATACTTAAAAAAATAATAATATAAAGAAAATGAAAAGGGCTCCAATAGCTTTGAAAAA